AACACACCGGCTTTCTCGAGTCCTTTTTTAAAATCCTGGATGCGATAAGGCCGAGCTGTTATGTCCGCGTGTAGGAAGACTGAATTGAGGGCGTGAACACCCGTGGGCAGGGGAGGCAGAACGATCCTGTAGCCTTCGTTCGATGATACAGCAGATCCGCGGCTATCAGTAGCCGTTGTTACCGCTCCGACGGAGCTCATAGTGATACGTCCGTTCGCTTCGAAAACCAAACGACGAATCCTCCCTATTTCGAGTTCTTTGATTGCGTGAAGACTGATTGGCTTCATATGGCTATTATTGACTATATGATTATATTAATAAATTATATGGCAGATTCGGAGTTCAAATGACTTATACTGACTATTAATGACTATTGGTCACAATTTTGAGTTATTTATTTGTGTGCGGGCTGACTTGGCTTTCAATTACTATTATTGGCTATACAATAATTTTTTTTTATTTATACGGCAGATTCGTGGTTCAAATAACTTCTTGTGGCTATCATTGGCTATTAGTCACTATTTCGACTTACCTGATTGTGTGCAGACTGAGTTGGCCTAATATGGCAATTATTGGCTCTACGATTGTTTATAAATTATAAGGCGGGCTTGGGGTCCAAATGATTTGTAGTGACTATCTATCACTATGAGTCACTAATTCGACTTATTTGATTTTATGCAGGCTCAGTTGGCTTCCAATTGCTACTATTGGCTATACAATAATTTTTTATTTATATGGCGGATTCGGGGTCCAAATGACTTCTGGATACTTTCAATGGCTATTAGTCACTATTTCGACTTACCTAATTGTGTGCAGACTGATTTGGCTTTATATGGCTGTTATTGGCTATATTATCATGCTTATAAATTATATGCCAGATTTGGGGTCCAAATGACTTCTAGTGACTATCAACGATGATCAGTCACTATTTCGACTTATTTGATTTTTTGCAGGCTGAGTTGGCTTCCAATGGCAATTATTGGCTATATGCATCGGCTATTGACCTGGTTGGCTCGAATTGCCAAAAAATGGCTATTAGTGCTTATTGGTTGCAATATTCTGCTATTCTATACTTATGAATGAAAATGGCTTCAAGTGGCTATTGTTAGCAATTGCATATCATCTTAACAATATCACCTTAAATCGCTTCAGAATGAACATTAGTGACATTTTGTGACATGGTATTCATGATGTTTTGAATATGAATGGATTCAAGTGTCTACTATTATTGGCTATGGGCAGTTCTTGGCTAAATCGGCTTGAAATGGCTATATATGTCTATCAGCGACTATTATTGGCAATTTATGCAATTGGAGTGTGTATAGATTTGAATGACTTCAACTGGAGAGTATTGGCTATAGGCATCTGTTCTTGACTTGGTTGGCTTGGATTGGCTATTATTGGCTATAATCATCTGCTCCTGACTTGGGTGGCTTGAATTGGCTACAAATGGCTTGAAGTGACTAGTATTTATAATTAGCAGCTATTTCTTTGTCTACAAACTGAAATGGCTTCATGTGGCTAGTTTTGGCTATTACCATATATTTTTTACCAGACTGGCTTCAAATGGCTATGAATGGCTATTCGTGGATATAGTTGACAATTCTATCCTATTTCAGTGATTATGACTGAAAATGACTTCAAATGGCTATGATTGGCTATTAGCTTGTATTTTTGTTAGATTGGCTTAAAATAGCTATACATGGCTATCAGCAACTATTATTAACAATTTATGCAATTGAAGTCTATATAGATTCGAATGACTTGAACTGGATATTATTGGCTATAGGCATCTATTCTTGACTTGATTGGCTTGGATTGGCTATTATTGGCTATAATCATCTGTTCCTAACCTGGGCGGCTTGAATTGGCTACAAATGGCTTAAAGTGACTAGTATTTATAATTAGCAGCTATTTCTTTGTCTACAAACTGAAATGGCTTCATGTGGCTAGTTTTGGCTATTACCATCTATTTTTTACCAGAATGACTTCAAATGGCTATGAATGGCTATTCGTGAATATCTATTGAATGGCTATGCATGGCTATTCATGAATATCCATTGAATGGCTATGAATGGCTATTCGTGAATATCGACAATTATACTTGCTATAGCCATTGCTAGCCTATTGAAGCCAATCTGGTTAAAAGGAATGATAATAGACAACAACAGCTACTAAAAGCAAGTCCGGTTAGTAAACACTAAAATTGCTCATAACTATCAAGACTAGCCACTAATAGCCATTTGTAGCTATTTCAAGCCAATTCAATAAAGAATGAATGCTTATAGTTAATAATAGCCACTTCAAGCCAGTTTCGTCCACAAACAGTGAAATACCACCGAATTGTCAATAATACTTACTAATAGCCATTGCAAGCCATTTGAGGCAAATCTGGCCAGAAATAGATGCTAATAGCCAACAATAGCCAATAAAAGCCATTCCAGTTAGTAAACATTAAACCTGCTTATAAATATCAACACTAGTCACTACAAGCCATTTGTAGCAATTTTAAGCCAATCTAAGCGTTTATAGCCAGTAATAGCCACTTGTTGCCAGTTTCATTCAAAAACACTGAAATAGCACATAATTGTCAATTATACTCACTAATAGCCATTGCAAGCCATCTGAGGCAAATCTGGCCGGAAATGAATGCTAATAGCCAACAATAGCCACTAAGAGCCATTCCAGTTAGTAAACATAAAACCTGCTTAAAAATATGAACACTAGTCACTACTAGCCATTTGTAGCAATTTTAAGCCAATCTAAATGCTTATAGCCAGTAATAGCCACTTGTAGCCAGTTTTATCCAAAACCACTGATATAACACATAATTATACTGACTAATAGCCATTGCAAGCCATTTGAGGCGAATCTGGCCAGAAATAGATGCTAATAGCCAACAATAGCCACTAAAAGCCATTCCCGTTAGTAAACATAAAACCTGCTGATAAATATTAATACTAGCCACTACTAGCCATTTGTAGCAATTTTAAGCCAAATGCATATAGCCAGTAATAGCCACTTGTAGCCAGTTTCATCCAAAAATACTGAAATAGCACATAATTGTCAATTATACTCACTAATAGCCATTGCTAGCCATTTGAAGCCAATCTGGTTAGAAATAGATGATAAAAGCCAAGAATAGCCACTTAAAGCCAGTCCAGTTGGTGAACACAAAAATCACTCATAACTATCAACAGTTGTCATTAATAGCCATTTGTATCCAAATTAAGCCATTGCAATAAAAGTAAATGTTTATAGCCAGTAATAGCCACTTGTGGCCATTTTCATCCATGAACACTGAAATAGCTGATAATTGTCAATTATACTTACAAATAGCCATTGCTAGCCATTTGAAGCCGATCTGGTGACAAATATATGCTAATAGCCAAGAATAGCCCCTTAAAGTCATTCGAGTTAGTAAACACTAAAACACCCATAATTATCAACATTAGTCACTAATAGCCATTTGTTGCCATTTCAATCAAATTCATCTAAAATTTGATGCATAAGCCAATAATAGCCGCTTGAAGCCATATTCTTTTTAAGTACTGAAATAGCACGTAATTGTTAAATGATCTCATGAATATCCATCAGCAGCCATTTCAATTCAGTCTGGTCAAAAATAATTACAAATAGCCAACATTATCCACTTCAAGCCATTCCATTTCGTAAATATAAAAAAATAGCTCAAGCAATAGTTATCTACTAATTGCGGTTTGTAGCCATTTGCAGTCAATCTATTCGAAAATAAGTGTTTATAGCCAATAATAGCATAGCCACTTGAAGCCATTCTCATTCGTAAACACTCAGACAGCAGATAATTGCTATTATACTGACTAACAGCCATTAGTAGCCATTGAGCCAATCTGGTCAGAAATATCTTCTAATCGCCAACAATAGCCACCTGAAGTCATTCCAGTATATAAACAGAAATAGCTCAGTTTTCATTACTCATTAATATTTGTAGCCCATATCTATCAAATATATATAAGAGTAGAGACTGATAGCCAATAATAGCCAGTTGAAACCATGTGCATTCACCAACGCCGAAATGGGTAATTGTGAATTATCTCATCAATAGCTATTGGCAGCCATTTAAGGTCATTCTGGTCAAAGAAGACGCTAATAGCCAACAAAAGCTACTTGAAGCCGTTCATAAGAGTAAGTACACAAACAATAACATAATTATCAATTCTAGCCACTTGGAGTCATTTCAAGTCGGTCTCATAAAAAAATTATGCCTATTGCCAATTATGGTCACTTGGAGCCAAGGGCATCTATAAGACATGTTTCGGTTAGAATAAAACAAATAAATCAACAAGCTCAGAAAAGTTTAATAATTATTTAGATTCTACAAAATCGCTATACAAATACTGACTGGTCTATACAACACACTGCATTTTGACATCAAAATACCAAGAGGTCCAATATCACGAGCTTATGCTATGGTGCCTGGAGCGCGTCTCCGACTGGTGTGTTTAGCGTCCTATCCCGCCCATACATCAAAAGTGGTCCCAATGTGGCAACAAATGACGCGAGTGTCATGCTGTTGCCTGTCGCGATCCTGGCGGTTGGCCGTAGAATTGCTGGCGAAAAGCACGAGCGAACGCGAGTGTCGCTGTCGTCATGGCGTCGCTTTAGTCGTCCCAACTTCCGGCTGCCCTAGCTTCCGTGAACTGTCACAATGGAACGCGACCTGCAGCAGAACAGGCGTCTGGCATTTATACCACAACTGTTGGGACGCCGCCAGGGTCGCGACCGGCGACAGCATGACACTTTTATGACGTCATCAGGCAGAAACCGAGGGACCACTTTTTTGGCCGCGGTAAACACACCAGTCGGAGACGCGTTCCAGGCACCATACTTATGCTGCCTATGCTCCGTCAAAAAATGGGAATATTTCATAGACTATCAATTTCTCTAGTGAGTCAGACACACTTGATTCATTTCCGGGGAAAGTGGCGAGTTGTCCACTCCACACCGCCAGGATCGCTTTCTACTTCCGTCTCCCATTTTAGCCCGGAGTTTCCTGTATTATTCTCAACGGTATTTGGGTGGACATATTCAGCCGGTGGCCAGGAATGAGGAACCGCTGATTGCTACTTGTGTTTTTTTTTTTTTCAAAAGAAGCTATGTCGGATTATTGGCTATTTTCATCACATGTTTTTGAACCCACTTTCACGGCTTCGTCCTTAGACGGCCAGGTGCTGTTAATATTTTATTCGCTTGCAATGGTCGGTGAGCGAACCTGCCTCCACAATGTTTTATTCTGACCGATAGATGTCGTTGATTTCGCAGGTGTCACCAGTAATACACTAGCCTCTTTCACATAATGCTACCTTGTGTACACATTTTAGGGGCCAGAGTTACGTTATGAAAGTAACCATCATGCACTGTGAGAACAAAATAAAATGGCTCCATCTTGTACAACAGAAGTTTATAACCATTCCATTGTAACAATTACCATCTTGTGACATAAATATTTACATTGGTCTGCAAAAAGAAATGTACTTCTTGTGATTGAAATATTATGTACATTAGAAGGAAAAACGAAACATTAAAGCCACGTCTTGGTGAACAAAAATAGATTTTAAAATAATAAATAAAAGAAAAGCTGCCAGGAGGCAGCTTAGTCCACAGGCGGCGGAGTGGGGGGCCCGCAGGGCAGAGGCAGGCATGGCTGCCGGGTGGCCGAGGTCATCAGGACCAGCAGCAGGAGCACCAGTGTCAGCTGCCGGATAGCCGAGGTTTGCTGGAATGGCAAAAGTTTCGAATGATGACCATTCCCACTCAGGTCACCCATATAGAATAATTGCAGAACATACTTCAGTTGGCGTTGTGTTTCAAGCCATCTACATATTCATAATGGAACAGCACAAATTTTACAAGGACAGAGGAAGGAACTGGACAGTACAAGCGCTGACTAACAACTGAAAGGTTTATTATCAAGAAATCAACCTAAAGTCTCGCATGCTCTGGGCTAGAATCTCAGGAGAACTAAAATATTGGCACTGAGAGGACACCATGCTCCTCGGAAGGGGAGACAGCAATTTCTATCACGATGACTAAATAAACGCTGGGAAATATCACTTAGTTATGTTCCTTGAAAGCAGTTGTGAATATATATATATATAATATATATATATATATATATATATATATATATATATATTGTTAGAGGCCGACGAAGAGGAGGACGAGGAGTAGAATGGTGCCCTAGAGAACGTTAAGTGGCACTCCGTCAGCCGGAACTGAAGTTGACTCCAGTGAGCCTGTAACATTTTGGTGGCAGCGGTGGGATCACTTCTAAACTTCGATGGCGAATCCACTGCACGTTACGTCCCACTCCGGCAACACTTCGCAGCGAGCAGCTGAAAATGGCTTCTCCATGAGCGTTCCAACGCAGCTACAACGCCTTCAAACTGGCTTGAATGTTCTTCCGAGTGACATCAATGGGCCACAAAGGGACGCTTTGGGGATTTCTGTAGATGACCTCAACGCCTGTCCATCGACCCTGGATGAAGGTGAGATCGTTTCAACAGTTAGCCCCTTGACGAATGTGAACCGAGGTACCCGTGCAAGGACTAATCCGTCACTGAAGTTAAAACCCTTCGACGGCAGCGTACCAGTTCACCTTTATCTGTACCAGGCTGAAATTATTGCACAAGCCAACGGCTGAACGGAAGACGACAAAGTTCACGCGCTCGTCTCCCAGTTGCAAGGACCAGCTCTAGACGTGTTTTACCAATTTGATGGTATTCCCCTATCATTCCCGGCCCTACGTGAAGCACTGGAGCGACGTTTTGGAGATAGCCATCTCCAACAAGTGCACAGCTCGGAGTTAAGTTTACGCCGTCAGCGCTCTCACGAAACCCTCCAGGAGCTGGCAGCCGACATCCAGCGCTTGATTGTCAAGGCACACCCTGGAGCCCCAACAGACGCAAAGGATAAGATTGGCACCTCCGCTTTTGTAGACGCAATAGCTGATCCAGAGGTTCAAGTATTTGTACGTCTTTCACGACCTACAAACGTCAAAGATGCCCTGGATCAAGCGCTAAACGCGGCAACTGCTCAAAGGGCCACAGAGTTTGTGCAGAGGGCTAGGCATCTACAAGAGCCGCCATCACCACTTTCCGCCTTATCTTCGGCGCCCAAAAGGCGGCATGGTAGTAGGAAATACAATCCTACACAAAAACCAGCCCGGTCTGAGGCCACTGATCAAGCTTCCGGGGTTAACGGTGGAGCGAGCACGGTGCTTTCTTCAGTAACTCCCCTAAAACTTCCTCTGACATCAGTGGCAAGTAACCAATCGTCGGTTCCAAAATTTACTGTTTGGATCGAATGTATTGGATACCAAGATGCTCTTCTTGACACTGGAGCAGCAGTGAACGTTCTGGCATCATCCCTGGTTCCAGCAGACGCACGTCTTCGTCCGACGTCACTTGGATTGTTCACTGTGAACGGTACTGCAATTCACACCCTGGGTATTCTCACTTTGCAAGTGAAAACAGTTGGGAGTACATCACCAGTGGAGTTCGTGGTGCTCGAGAATTCTGTTTGCCCGGTAGTGCTTGGCTACGAATGGTGCCGTAAGAATAACTTTCTTAATAATGAGTTTCCGGCTTCAAGAGGCAACAGAATCGCAACATCGACAATTGACCGCAGTAAGTTCTTATCAAGGCACAAGCTACATCTTGGTGCCGCTCGAGTTATCTTCAACGTATGGAATGTCACCACTGCACTTCTGAGAGATTCGCTAGACCACGTCCAGAAAGTGCTTCGAGCTTTGCTTGGCACCGACACAGCAAGTATCGCACCTGTGACAAGCAACGTCTACGTATGCAAAACGGTCACCATACCCCCGAGCTCTGCTGCGTGGGTTCCGGTGAATACGCCCGACCAGAGCTTCAGCGGCGACGTCATTTACGAACCTCTCCTTCAAGCTAAACCTGGACACGAGTTTGTCTCCCCCCACACTTTGGCATCTTCTCTGCGGGGAAACTTCGTCATCTTGGCTGTAAATATTGGATTGAACGACATCACGCTAAAACCTGGGGAACAAGTCGGAACCGCCCAGCCCTCCTGCCCTGAAGTGCAGGTGAATACAGTCGCACTTGAATTCAACTCACAGGCAGATATACCCAGTCTTCCATGGGAAAAATTTAATGTTAATCCTGACCTTGACGCAGAACAGATGACAGCACTTCGACAGCTTCTTCAACGTCATCGTAGCTGCATCGCACTTTCTCCAAATGAACTCGGCTGCACGTCTTTAGTCGAGCATTCCATCGACACTGGGGACAGTCAGCCTATTCACCAGTCACAGCGTAGGTTTGCTCCATCCGAACGGAGTGTTATTCAAACGCAAGTTAAGGACATGATTCAACAAGGGGTGGTCGTTCCTTCATCAAGCCCATGGTCCTCTCCAGTGGTGCTCGTCCGAAAAAAAAGATGGTGCAATCCGGTTTTGTGTTGACTATAGAAAAATCAACAGCATTACGAAACAGGATGTGTACCCCCTACCTCGCTTGGATGATGCCCTGGATCGACTACAGGGATCAGAATATTTCACCACCTTGGATCTCCTGTCAGGATACTGGCAGGTTGCGCTGGACCCCAAGGATGCAGAAAAATCTGCGTTTGTAACACCTGATGGACTCTACCAGTTTACAAGAATGCCTTTTGGGCTGTGTAATGCACCTGCAACATTTCAGAGATTAATGGACAGGGTGCTAGGCCACCTGAAGTGGACCATGGCACTCGTATATCTAGATGACGTAATTGTCTATGGAAGCACATTTGATGAACACCTCCAAAGACTCACATCAGTATTGGATGCGCTCTCCTCTGCCAATCTGCGCCTGAAACCGGAAAAGTGTTACTTTGGGTATAAAGAGGTAACCTACCTTGGACACGTTGTATCGAAAAGAGGGATTACACCAGATCCTGTCAAGCTTCAAGCCTTCGCAGAGTATCCTGTTCCAACATCCTTAAAGGAAGTAAAAAGTTTCCAGGGATTCGCATCATATTTCCGCCGATTCATTTCTGACTATGCGCGCCGTGCGGCTCCAATGACCCGTCTGCTACGCAAGAATGTACCCTGGCGATGGACAGCAGAGGAACAAGCTTCCTTTGAAGACCTGAAGAGTGCCTTGTTGAGTGCTCCAATTCTCGCCCACTTTGACCCTGCTAAGGCGACCTATCTCCACACGGATGCCAGTGGAGAGGGACTCGGTGCTGTTTTGTTGCAACAAGATGGCGACGCCACGCAACGTGTTGTTTCATACGCAAGTCGCCGTCTGACGGACGCAGAACAGCGGTATCATTCTTCAGAACTTGAGTGTCTTGCACTAGTCTGGCCAGTGCAACACTTCCGGCCATATCTCTACGGGCGACACTTCACTATTGTGACCGATAACTCAGCCTTGACATGGCTCCAAAGCAAGAAAGATCTAACGGCCAAACTAGCTCGTTGGTCGATTTTACTTCAAGAACATAACTTCACAATTGTTCATCGGAGTGGCAAAGAACACCAAGATGCAGACTTTCTATCTCGTCATCCGATGAAGGACATGCCGGATTCTCCTGACCACGATGCTTGCTTTTGTGCGTCTACATTTAATTTGAACGCAGGCCAGGAGCAAGATTGTGAAATCCAGGACATCGTGTCTCGACTTCAAACGACTGACGTACCACCACGACTAATCGCCTACGTAAAGCGTACCAGGTTCGTGCCGGGTTACTTTGCCATCGCAGTTCCAGCACTAAACATTGGGTGCCAGTTGTCCCTTCTTCACTACGCGGAGCGGTACTGCATCTTTGTCACGATGACCCTACGGCGGGGCATCTAGGCCGTGACAAAACTTTCCAGAAGATATTAGAAAGGTACTGGTGGTCTGGGCTTCGAAAGGACGTGGCAAGCTACGTAGCCTCTTGCTCACAATGTCAGCAACGCAAGTCACCAAATACAAGCAAGCCATGTGAACTTCACCCCATACCACCACCTGAGGCTCCATTCGAGGTGTGGGGGATCGACCATCTCGGGCCTTTTCCACGTACATCAGACGGCAACCGCTACATTCTAGTGGCGGTAGATCATCTTACCAAATGGGTAGAGTTATGCCCCGTGGCCAGTACATCAACCGAAGAAGTCGTGCGGTTCCTCAGAACCCAGCTCCTCCTGCGACACGGAGTGCCACGGATGATCATAACTGATCGAGGTACAGCTTTTACCTCTGCCGTGTTTTCAGAAGAGCTAGCCTCTCAAGGCATAACTCATGCTAAAGCAGCTCCCTACCGACCGCAGACGAACGGGTTGGTTGAGCGAGCTAACAGAACAATTGCTGGAATTCTTTATTCGTACGTAAATGTCAAACACACTGATTGGGACACTTTTGTTCCTTTTGCCGCGTTCGCGATGAATACCGTGAAGCAGTCAAGCACCACTTATACACCATTTCAACTTGTTCATGGTAGAACGGCGGTGCTTCCTCAAGAATGCTCATCATCTGTAGCGTGGCGGAATAGGGGAGACGATTTTGCTGACAATAACTTTCAGCACCGCCTAGATGACGCACGAAAACGAGCAAGAATGGCTATATTACATTCCCAACAGCGTGCGGCATCTCGATACAGCGCTCCTGGCTCAACGCCATGTCTATCTCCGGGTGACTTGGTCCTGGTTCGGAGGGAACAGCGAAAGAAAGGTCGAGCACAGAAGCTTCTGCCTAGGTATAGGGGTCCCTGTGAAGTCACTAAGAAAATTGGACCACTAACCTATGAAGTTCGAGATTGGGGAACTTCACGGAAGACCAAGACATTTTCAGCGCATGTGCATCACCTGAAAATGTACATCCCACGCACAAGTGCGCCTCCTTCTTCTTCGGGTCAGTGAATTGTGGAAACCAAAGGGCCGATGAATTGCTTTTTGTGCTGTGATAACTTTTACGGGGGCGGGGGAGAGTGTTAGAGGCCGACGAAGAGGAGGACGAGGAGTAGAATGGTGCCCTAGAGAACGTTAAGTGGCATTCCGTCAGCCGGAACTGAAGTTGACTCCAGTGAGCCTGTAACAATATATATATATATATATATATATATATATATATATATATATATATATAAGTAGAGTGAAAATTACGAGCGTTTAATGCTCCGAGGTTTATATATGCACTCTTTTGTTACGTGTGTACATATGTGTGCCCTGTTGAACTTTGACCTTTATGCAGGGCACCACCTGATGATTCTGGAACATATCATGGCATATATCACGTGTTTTTTTCTAATAACTCTTACTAAATCCTTCAGCCTGTCATAAGATGGCTGGGGGTGCCTTTTTTTACAAGTTTTGTAAATTGTGCCATTGTATACTCTTCACTGTCCACATATACCAGCAACTCTGAATTCACAGATGTTATCTTTTTTTCCTTTTTCTTAACTATCATTGTAGTGACCAAACTACTACCTGGTCATAAAACGTTTCAAATGCATGCAGTGCCTAATGCGGCAGTCTTCTTGTCTTTGGTAACAAAGGAAAAGGCATGCGCACCAATACCAGTCATCAACCCATCAAAACATTTCGTAGAAATTAAGGAATTTGTCTTGTACGCGTACCTTCTCAAGGGCAGCAAGCCTAGCCACGGCCAGCTCCACTAGTCGCTGCTAGCCTCTGATGAGTTGCTCGGCCACTGTGTCGACAGAATGCCGCTCTGCTCGGGGACACCGGGGGCGGGGAAGGGGGCGGGGGCGGCTGGGCGGCTGGCTCTGAGCTAAACACAAAGGCGATTGTGAACCAAGCTGGGAAGGACAATAAGAAAAGGCAGGAACTGCAGCTGGCAGCGACGAGTGTGCTATCACACCCCTTGGGCAGTCATTGCATTATGAAGACAGCAAACTGGTCCATATCGCTAGCGTATGTAGAAAAGACACAGGCTGCACTCGGAGCAATTTCTGTTTGCAAACAATGATAACGTAATAACCCCCCCTTCCCCCTTCACTAACTACTACTTTTAGGGTATAGAATGGTTTTATGGACATATGTGCTGGACACCATTTTCCTCGTATGCCTAAAGTCTCGCATTTGGACTGTTTCTGGATTTCCTTCGTGTTTGTTAATATAGGCAGGATATACGTCAACTAAAACTCAAATATCGACGCATACTGCAAGAGACACTTACCGGTGCCACTGGTTCCTGGGACTTCCCCAACTGGGGAAGTCCCAGCTTCAGGCTTCACTTTCACAAGTTTCAGGCTGTACCATCGCAGCTGGCGATGGTACAGCCTGAAAGTGACGAGGTTCAGGTGAATCTCGCTATCATCGAGCAATATTGAAACAGTAGGAGAGACAAGAAAGTCAGTATGTTTGGCATTTCTAGAACCCTACAGAAATTTATAATCACATGCAAACTTGTGTAATTCACGTAAAGTGGCTGCAGCTGCCTTCCGAGGAGGCTTCTTGTACCTGAACACGCTCAGAGTGCCATTGTTCACTGTGTTACAGCAGACACTATAGTGATTTAACAATGTGTGCACTAACCATATTTATCACTGTCGACAACTGCTAAGAGCAATTACAATCCCTGTGGTTGTCAGGTCATGACATTTTGAGGTGAATACGAGTATAGCATGTGCTGCAAGTACGTTTGGACCCCACAACTGAACAGAAGCATCCAGATTAACACTCTAATCATGTCGTCATGTGCGACGAGGCCTCACTGTTTATTGAAAACTTTAAATGCAGCCTCTTTAAGTATAGTATTTATGCTGCCATCTTTGCCAGATATAGTCGCGTGTTCTACCGAGTACCTTTTAGCAGCAGGCTGCAACTGCTACTTTCCGATCAAGTAGTCTGTAATCATCAGGTGAAAAGTTAATAGATAAACATATGTCTAAAAGTGAAAAGCTGCAATTCGATATAAGTTTCGGTTTCACAAAATGTTCAGACAATTAAATAATTTGTTCTGCAAAACATGCCTGAAAGTCTTGGGCAAAAACAAAAGAGCTCCTTACCTGTGGCCCCGGCACCGCCGGTGCCCCGCAACCCTCCACGGCATCGGGGCCGACAATGGAAATTATCCTCCCGGCCTCGCCAGGTACTGCGCCTCCGCCCGTCCCTCTGAAGGAAAACGTAGCAATATGAGTTCTTATTTTTTTTTCTTGATCGAAACTATGGATTGAATTTAATTTTACAGACGTAGCTTACTCATCTCCTTTGGCGGTTTATTTGCAATGCTAACATCAGTCTTCAGACCGTAAATGTGACACTTGTCATGTGCAATCGTTATCCTCTAACACGGCGGAATACGTCATATTCGCAAGCCATGCATCCAATATCAAAAGTCGGGAACACTCACCCGCTGTTTCTGCTGAACTCATCGGCCTTCTTTTTGGCGGCCCGCACCCTGTCGGTCCAATAATGTTGCCAGCTCCTCCTGTTTTTGATGGCAGGCCCGATGGCGTTGAGCTCGGCGACGAGCTCAGCCCAGAGCTGATCTTTTTCCATCTGCGTGACTGCCGGCGTGAGATCAGCGGCTCCCAGCGCGATTTGGGGATGTTCCATAAAATTCAATAGTACCTCGCGCTGGGCTGCCGACACTCGCGGATCTAATCTTGACGTCTTTGCTGTTGGCTCCATCTTTGCCGCCGATCGTAGCAGACGACTTAACACTCCGAGTGAATGTGGCATTCATTATTTTATCGCAGATCACTGCAAACAACACAAATGTTTAAGTTTTTATTCACTGAAAATCGATTAGATCTACGTCGGAGCTCTAGAAAACTTTTATCATGGTGGCCCCTCCTTTACGGGAGCGCCGTCGGAGTTCAGCTCTGCGTCGAGCTGCGTCCAAATCGCGTATTTATGGGCGTGGAGTGCACCCGTCCTGAAATTTAGTCTTGCCTTGCATCATACGGAACGTTCCTCCTGTAAAATTTGTTATTTTCGCTCGCTGGGCCGGCGGAACCCGCGAGTGCGACGTGTCCGGCCTTTTCGGCTCTGTCCCTTGAATTGTAGCAGACGATCGTAGCAGACGACCGTAGCCTCGAAGCAGGCGCCTGCGCCGCCGGCGCGCCGTAGGGAAAACGTGGGGGCGATTGGCGCTAGACTCGAGTGACGTCTCAGCCAAAGTGGGGGTCGGAAATGTAAGAAAGGAGAGCGAAACTCGCCACAGTTCGCCTCAGGGGCGGGTCCTTAAGGGCCTCCTCCCTTCGTGACGTGTTCTCGCCCGTTTTCTCGCCGCCGTCCAGCTTAGAGCTCCAGGTGGGCGCCAGCCCACTCGGCCACCAATACCCCTTTATAAAAACACGTTAAAAACGTTTGACGTTTACAATTCTCTGTAATGTAATGCCGAATTGGAGTGCAGCTCTTGAAGAGGAGGGAGGAAGGGTACGAAGGGGAGGGTATGCCAGCTGCTCCCCCTCCGTACCCCCCCATCCTCCTCTCCCGTTCCCATTCCACTTAGCGTAAAAATTTCGCTAAATTTCCCGTTAAATTTAGTCGGGAAATTTTCCCGCTGAATTGACATGTGACGTCACATGACACGTCACCTGATATTTTAAGTGGGACGTCACGTGACGTCACACGGGTGAAATGTTTCCTCTAAATTTAGCGTAAAAATTTTCCGCCAAACTTAACAAAATCTTTTACTGCAAAATTAAGCGGGAAAATTTTAGATGACAGGTCATCTGAAATTTTAAGTGTGACGTCACGTGACGTCACACGGGTAAAATTTTTTTTCTAAATTTAGCGGGGAAACATTTTCCGCCAAACTTAGCAAAAACGTTTTTTGCAAATTTTAGCGGGAAAATTTTACCCTCATGACGTCACACGTGACGACACACGTGACGTCACGTGTGACGTCATTTTGGGAAAAAGCCCTTAATGCAACGCGCGGTTACGCCGACGCCGCTCAACCCAGAAACGGGTGCCTAGGAGCTGTGCTCTAAAACAACGTTACATTAATGAACGATTTTTACGCAAATCGGATGATTCTGAGCGATCATCGCAAGCCAAGATAAACAACGAAGCAAATCGAACTCTGGCGTTCCGCTTCGTTCCACGGAAATCTACGAGGAGGCCCTGACAATGCCTAATCACATCATTATTATCGTGTTGTCTCGAATAGTTACATGCTGAAACAAAAGTAGGCTCTATGATTCGCTGCTAACCAAGATAGCCATGAATGACTGACTTTGTCGTCGTCTTTTATCAATTCACCGCTGCGCTAATCTTGATTCAGATCAGCCTAAACTCCAAGTTCACCCTACTATTTCTTTTTTTTTGCAATGACACTCTTCTACGTGTCGTCGCTTTCACGAATTTCTTTTTCTTCATAAAATAAAACTTACGCCACCCTTTTGGTGTCTGTGTTGTTATGTGTTACTGTTGAAACACTCCTATTGATGCCACGCACTCAATCGAGCGAAGTGAGTTTGTCAAACTCACTCCAAGCGAAGTGTGTTCTGTAGTGTGCCGTGTGGCACACTACAGAAATGACACTAAGGGCGAAGTGCACTCGCTTGTAGTGACACTAAACTAGCCCGTCTGGCAGGGGTATAAGACTTTCCGCCGCACCTGAGCTTTGCGGTTTTTCTCCTGTTGGTGGAGTCCCCTGCAAGGTATTACCATGCTTGCCGTGAGGCCGACGATTCCGACTAGCGTTGCTTCGGTGTGACCTTGCCGTGTCGCCCTTAGAAGCCCGTTTAGAACGGAGTTCCGAAATAGCGCTTTGGAGGCAGGCATGCATGTCTGCATCGAGTGTTTGGTCAAGGTAGCGGCCTACCCCAGTCTTCCACGAGTGCAACATACCCTGTGGAGGGCCAAAAGCTGGCCGGCTTGGAGCTGTTGGTGTGTCAGTGAACGTACCAAAGGATGGGTCCAGCTGGATCCATGGTGGAGTGATAGTGGCAGGCGTTGCGGAACCTGGTTCAGCCGAAGGTTGGGACCAGGTTTTGCGTAGAGAAAACGTGGCTGCAGCGTTATCTACCATATCCAATTTCGATTTTCGGAGCGAGCAGAAAACGACGTCCGTTCAAAACGGCGTCGTCTTCCTTCATCCTCAACTGACGTCGAGAAAAGAGCAGCAAAGCAAGATGCTGGAGGTCTATATGGACGACAGTACTTACAAGAAAGGCGACCAAGAAAGCTCGCCTGAGCGTGCATCCAGTCCCAAACACCGGACAGAACTCGCCAGCCCCTAAAGCTCGTGCGCGCTACGTCGTCACTCTGCGTCCGCGCAGCAAAATCGACGTTACAGCTCTTCCCAACGGAGGATTAATGGAGGCCATTATGTGCCCTCTCGGTCTCAAGCCAGAGATGGTCTCCATCAAGATCAGCAAGGAAAGCAACACCTTCACAGTCCTGACGGAGTCCGAAGCCACAAACGGGCACTACTGGGCATCAAGGAAATCCAAATCACCGATCAACAACCCCTAGCCGTCCAGGCGTACGAAGCCATGGGGGATTGTCAGATCCGCGGGGTCATCCACATGATAGATAAAGGAGAAGACAACGCTTCTCTCTTAGCCGGACTGCAATCCAATGGGCCAGCGGTACTGGCAGCTCGACCAATGAGCAGCGGAAGCAGAACCGGCCTTATAACCTTCCAGGGACCTCATCTCCCTCGAACCGTTTGGTAAAGACGAAACGTCCTGGGAGTATATATCCATACAGGACCACGAGCTGTGACAGGCAGCAACTGTCTCAAGATCGCTCACAAGCAGGACATCTGTCCCGAGCCTCAGGTTTGCTCCACATGCGGCAAGCCCCACGAAGAGACCATGGACGACCAGGGCCAAGTGACCTGCCATTCCCCCATTCCATTCTGCCAGATGTGCGAAAGAATGGGCACCTGGCCACGGACAAGTACTGCCCAAAGAGAATCGACATTGTTCGCAGGATCCGGGAACCGGCGCGAAACCGCGCCGTTCCCCCAAAGAATCCGGGCAGCTCGAAACCCTCTAAACAGGCCTTTCAGGGGAAACGAAATAGCGGTCGCCGATCCGCTCCACCCAACCCTCCTGCACCAACAGCCACCCCTCCCGCATCAACGGCGACGGTCGATCGACGGAGCGGGCATGGGTGCACGGCTGCGATGCGGATCGTAAACCTTTTTGTTCTTCTTGTGCAGCTCGCGGGAGGACCGGTGCTCGATAACTGTCGTCAGCATCAGGCTTTTGCCGTCCTCACATTGCCAACTCAGCCAGCCAATGCTATCATCATCCTCGAGCGGCTATTCGTTGAAACGGCAACATTGTCAACGTCATCGACATCGGGACCATCGCCTGGATTCACTACAAAGCCTGGAGCATCATCGCTGTCCGCCAGTGGGCATGGCTGCACGGCTACGATGCGGATCGTAAACCTTTTCGTTCTTCTTGTGCAGCTCGCGGGAGGGCCGGTGCTCGATAACTGCCGTCAGCATCAGGTTTTTGCCGTCCCCACATTGCCAACTCAGCCAGCCAATGCTATCATCATCCTCGAGCGGCTATCCGTTGAAACGGCAACATCATCAACGTCGTCGACATCGGCACCATCGCCTGGATTCACTACAAAGCCTGGAGCATCACCGCTGTCCGCCAGTGGGCATGGGTGCACGGCTACGATGCGGATCGCAAACCTTTTCGTTCTTCTTGTGCAGGTTAGTAAGCGTGACACTGACCCTTGTTTTAGATCGAACTGTATTTGCATAGTCGTGCTTCCATGCCCAGACGCCTGTCTTGAGTCATTTCGAGTGTTGCTTTAAATGCTGTGTGGAGATGTTGAGGTAAACCCGGGTCCCATGAACGAACAACAGGTCAAACAATTTAATGAAATGTTTCAGTTATTACAAGGCCTTAACGCTCGTTCGCTGAAGTTCGAGGAAGGACAAGCCACTGTGATTGCCTCTATCAATAAACTTAAAGCAAATCAGAAATAAATTCAGAATTCTGTCACTAATCTTGCTCAAAGAGTGACGACAGTCAAAGCCAAAACCGCAGCTTTCCATGACATACAACGCAAGCTAGTCGCAGCTCATCATACCATCCAGCGTATGGAAAGAGATAACCGGAACTTAAATTACACACTGTCTGATATGCAAGATAGGTCACGAAGGGATAATCTGATTTTTCATGGTATTGATGACAGCGTTAATGAAACGTTGTCACAATCTAAAGATAAGGTGTCTTTTTTATCGAACGTTTTGAACATAACCGTCTCCCACGAACAGATAGCGCGTGCCCACAGCCCGGGGGCCTTTGTAAGTGGGAAATATCACCCCGTAATTGTGAAGTTTGAATCCTTCAAAACTAAGGATCATATACTATCATGCCGTGCCAGACTAAAAAATAACCCTGCTTCAGTAGCCGAAGATTTTTCCCCTGAGACACGGCTTGCAAGGAAATGGTTGCTTGCGTACGGAAAAAGCCAGGGGACAGTTTTTAAGCTTCGTTGTAACAAGCTATCTATAAACGGCAAATGTTTTGCGTAGAATGCGGCTGACGATAGAATCTATGAGCTGCTTCCTTCTGCTGCTGTTCAACAAGCGTATAATGGGGCTCAGCCAGCAACTGAAGCTGTGTCTGGTTCAGCTACCACTTCTTAACAGTCGGAGAGGGGTGGTGAACGTCCCGATTCCAGCTCGAACATTTCTATTATTTTTACTAATATTAGAAGTTTGTTTCCCAAGCATGATGACTTGTGCTCAGTTGTCGACTCCTGTGATGCGGATTTAATAGTTTTGACGGAAACTTGGTTCTCGGCAAAAATTTATAATAATGAGCTCTTCCATTGTCACAAACGTTACAATATTTACAGAAATGATAGGATTGACAGATCGGGTGGTGGTGTTTTGTTGGCGGTGGCCAATACAGTTGTTTCTCATCATGTACCGAGTGTTTTTGCTCTTGAGATAACTTAAGTGTGTGCTTGTTTAAATTACAAAAAATGGTTATTTGGTGTTTGTTACCGCCCTCCTACGAATAACTCCATGTTTTCAAGTATGTTGC